CGAAGTACGTATTGAAAAGGACTGGAGGAGCAAGAAATAGAGTAGACACCAGGAACATCTGTAGAGGGAGGAGAGGTATGAACGAGATTAGTGCGAAGAGTGTTAGTCTGGCGGAAGGTAAGCTTGATGTCTAAGGGACGGAGAGAATTGTTGAGATTAGAAAGACCGGAAATGTAGGGAAGGCAGAGGATAGAAGAGTTCTCATGAGTAGAGAGTTTGGGAGAGAAGAAATTGCGTTTAGCACGTGAGAGGGCAGAGTCTATGAAATGGGAAGGGTACCCAAGACGGGAGAACGAATTGTGAAGAGTGGAAATTTCTGCTGGAAGGAACTGAGGATCACAGATACGGAGGGCACGGAGAAAGAGGGAGATAAGAACACTTTTCTTGACAGGGGAAGCATGATAGGAAAAGTAGTGAATGTACATGCCACTGTGCATAGGTTTACGGTAAACGGAAAAGGAAAAACCTGTAACTGAGCGGTGGACATGGACATCAAGGAAAGGAAGCAAGGAATTAGATTCCCATTCAGCTTTAAACTTAATGGAAGGGGCAAGATTATTTAGAGCTTCAAGAAAAGGTTGGAAGAGACTGGAGTCATGAGGCCACAGAGCAAAGATGTCATCCACATAGCGGAGCCAGAGTGAAGGTTGCACATCAAGGGTAGGAAGAAGAACAGTCTCGAAGTATTCCATGTAAAGATTAGCAAGGACAGGAGAGAGAGGGGAGCCCATAGCGACACCGAAGGTTTGAGAATAATATTTCCCTTGGAAGGAAAAGGAGTTAGTCCACACAGAGGTGGATCAGATCAAGAAAGACATCAGTGGGGATAGGGAGATGAAGAAACCCTTCATGGGCCTTCTCTCTAAGGAAATCAAGGACATCATCAAGAGGGACATTGGTGAAGAGGGACTCAACGTCAAGACTAAGCATCTTACAGGTTGGGAGAGAGCAAACCCGTTCAATGAAGTCTTGAGAGTGTCGGAGGTGGGCAGGAGGAAAAGTACCAAGAAAGGGAGTGAGGGCTTTGGCCAGCCAAGAAGCAAGAGAATAAGAGACAGAACCTCTAGAGGATATGATAGGACGAAGAGGAATATCAGGTTTATGAGTTTTGGGAAGGCCATAGAAATAGGGAAGAGAGGGACAGATGACATTAAACCGTTGAACAAGGTCAAAGTCAGGAGGACAGAGGTCGGAGAGAGTCCTTAGTTTTTTGTTGAAAGTTCTCTTGATGCGATCAAGAGGGTTGGAAATGAGAGGAGTGTAGGTGCGTGAGTCAGAGAGCAAGACATCAGCTTTACGGAGGTAATCCTCGCGATCAAGGATAACTACCGAATTACCTTTGTCAGAAGATAGTATGACAATGTTAGTGTTGGATTTAAGAGAAGAAAGGGCAAGTTGGTAACGGTGTGGAAGGTGGTGATTCTTAGAAAACAGACTAACAAGAGCAGGAAGGAGAGCACCACGAAAAGTGGACAAGTCAGGAAGATTACGGAAGCGAGATTGACGAAAGGAATCAAAAGAGCTAATCAGGGAAATACCAGCGCGAGGAGTAGGCGAAGTGGCAAAGGAAAGGCCAAAACCAAGAAGTTCAAGCTCATACTGAGAGAGTGAGACAGATTAGTAACAGTCAGTGAGGGAGAATTTAGACCAAGGGCTAGCTGAGATGAGACGTTGAAGTTTATTCTGTAGTTTGGAAGAATGAATTTGTGCATTCAGGCAAGCAGTGTCAAAGGCAATGGTAGAGAGAAGGTTACAGAGATCCTGTGGTAGAGCCGCAAAGAGAGCACGTTGACGTTGACGGAAAGTAAAGAAGGCATCTTCAACCTGTGATTTAGTAGAAAGAATGAGTTGTTGAAGTAGGAGACGGGCATGATCAGGAAAGGGAGTGCCCAATGGGTTGGTTTTCAGGAAGTGGGAGAAGGAAGGTGGCAGAACTTGTTCAGCAAGACAGTCACGTAGGAAGCGAAGCTGATCCTTACGACGCCGGGTAGCAATAAGAGCAGCCTCATAAGATCGAAAGAGGGGTTTAAAAGAGGGAAGAACATTAAAAAAGTTGGAGAGAATATGACGCTTAACTGCGGGGTCCATAAACAAACAAAAAAGGCACAATACCGTGACTGGAACGATACACAAATAACCCGCACATAAAAGAGAGAAGCTTACGACGACGTTTCGGTCCGACTTGGACCATTGACAAAGTCACACTAACCAGAGGAGGAGCAGGACGGCTATATATAGGCAGGAAGAGGTGGTGGTAGTAGTAGTAGTACAAGAGTTGTATATAATACCGACAAGATGAAATTAAAACACATGCACAACACCCGGGCATCCCCATCATAGACGTTTCGCCATCCAGCCAGCTACTGGATGGCGAAACGTCCACAACAAAGACAACCAGACGCCGCACATGTGTCTTAATTTCATCAGTAGTTGTAGTAGTAGTAGAAGAAGAAGAGGTAGTGGTAGAAGTGAGAAATAAAAAGGACGAGCCAGTCAAATACAAAGGAAGGGGAGCACTGCAAGAGAGCTAGATGCCCACAGAGGGAGAGCAAGCGCACAGAGGTGCGTGAAAGGGAAGTGGTGAAATAAATGAAGGAACAGAAACACGAGACAGGAGAGAGAAAGACAACCCAGAGGAGAAAAGGGAAGAGGAAGAAGAAGAAAAAGAAAAAGAAAAAATGAGGATTCAGGTTAAGTCACGGGTGTTCTGAAGATTGGAGCATTTTACAATGTAGTGGGAGAGGAAGGCATCTACAGAGACGAAGCCAGGCCTAAGGTTCATACAAGGAAAGTTGTGTATTAGAGAGGATACAACTAGACGGCGACTGTTCGAGTTGGAAGTAGGGAAGACAGTTTTAGCAGAAGACCAGTCAGTAGGATGGCTATGATCTCTGACGTGACAGAAAAGAGCATTGTTAGTGTCGGCAAGCCTAACACTATTTCGCCATCCAGTAGCTGGCTGGATGGCGAAACGTCTATGATGGGGATGCCCGGGTGTTGTGCATGTGTTTTAATTTCATCTTGTCGGTATTATATACAACTTTTGTTCTGCTGCTGCTGCTGCTGCTGCTGCTGCTGCTGCTGCTGCTGCTGCTGCTGCTGCTGCTGCTGCTGCTGCTGCTGCTGCTGCTGCTGCTGCTGCTGCTGCTGCCTGCTGCTGCTGCTGCTGGCTGCTGCTGCTGCTGCTGCCTGCCTGCCTGGCTGCTGCTGCCCGCGCTGCTGCTGCCTGCTGCTGCTGCTGCTGCTGCTGCTGCTGCTTGCTGCTGCTGCTGCTGCTGCTGCTGCTGCTTGCTGCTGCTGCTGCTGCTGCTGCTGCTGCTGCTGCTGCTGCTGCTGCTGCTGCTGCTGCTGCTGCTGCTGCTGCTGCTGCTGCTGCTGCTGCTGCTGCTGCTGCTGCTGCTGCTGGCTGCTGCTGCTGCTGCTGCTGCGCTGCTGCTGCTGTGCTTGCTGTGCTGCTGCTTGCTGCTGTGCTGCTGCTGCTGCTGTGCTGCTGCTGCTGTGGCTCTGCTGCTGCTGCTGCTGCTGTCTGCTGCTGCTGCTGCTGCTGCTGCTGCTGCTGCTGCCTGCTGCTGCTGCTGCTGCTGCTGCTGCTGCTGCTGCTGCTGCTGCTTCCTGCTGCTGCTGCTGCTGCTGCTGCTGCTGCTGCTGCTGCTGCTGCTGCTGCTGCTGCGCTGCTTCTCTGCTCTGCTGCTGCTGCTGCTGCTGCTTGCTGCTGCTCTGCTGCTGCTCTGCTGCTGCTGCTTGCTGTCTGCTGCTGCTGCTTCTGCTGCTGCTGCTGCTTCTGCTTGTTCTGCTGCTTCTGCTCTGTCTGCTTCTGCTTGCTGCTTCTGCTCTCTGTCTGCTTCTTCTTGCTGCTCTGTCTCTCTGTCTTCTCTGCTTCTTCTTCTGCTTCTGCTTCTTCTTCTGCTTCTTCTTCTTCTTCTTCTTCTTCTTCTGCTTCTGCTTCTCTTCTCTTCTTCTGCTTCTTCTTTCTTCTTCTTCTTCTGCTTCTTCTTCTTCTGCTTCTTCTCTTCTTCTTTTTCTTCTTCTTCTTCTTCTGCTTCTTCTTCTGCTTCTCTTCTTCTTCTGCTTCTTCTTCTGCTTCTTCTTCTTCTTCTCTCTTCTTCTGCTTCTTCTTCTCTTCTTCTTCTTCTTCTGCTTCTTCTTCTTCTTCTTCTTCTTCTCTCTTCTTCTTCTCTCTTCTTCTCTTCTTCTTCTGTCTTCTGTCTTCTTCTTCTGCTTCTTCTTCTTCTTCTGCTTCTTCTTCTTCTTCTGCTTCTTCTTCTTCTTCTGCTTCTTCTTCTGCTTCTTCTTCTTCTTCTGCTTCTTCTTCTTCTTCTGCTTCTTCTGCTTCTTCTTCTTGCCTATATATAGCTGTCCTGCTCCTCCTCTGGTTAGTGAGACTTTGTCAATGGTCCAAGTCGGACCGAAACGTCGTCGTAAGCTTCTCTCTTTTATGTGCGGGTTATTTGTGTACTAATATGCTTAATTGCTAGTGTCCTCAAATTTGCTGTGAACTGTAAATTTTGGCCTAGACTTGAGAGAATGGGTCTGTGCAATGTATGCACAGTATAAAAGAAAATCTTGACCCACTCGCTACATGATGAGAACTAAACCCTGAGTCTGTTTGGGTTATAATAGCAACTTTGGTATTATTTTTTGTGGTAGATTTCATGTTTTTTATGATTTTCTGGGTGCCATTGAGTAGAATGGATTACATGCTAGTAATAAAGGAGAGATATTAGTGAAATAGCAGGAATTTGGCGAGCTTAAGCATGAGAATAGGCCAAAAATAGGCCTATTCCCATGCTCAAAACTGACCCTGTCTGTATCCCATACACAGAAAGAGCTTTAATTTTGGGGGTATGGACAGCATCCCAGCTGTCACCAGACAGATGGGATGCTGTCTGGTGACTTCTTATTGAAGCCTTCATGTATGATACATACTGTGTACATATTTCAAAAGGAACATAAATGACAAGATATGAATAGTGAGTTACTTCAGATAATATGCATAACATTCAGATTCCATGTTTACTCTACCTAGTGAATATGTAAGGTTTCAAAAATAATTTTTTTTTATATATAATTATACATATCAAATAATGGTATCACAAAGGTTTTATGGAAGGTATTCTTCTTCGTAATTATTACGGTGGGAGTGTGTTGGACAACATTTGTATTGGGTAGTACTACATGGTCGGCATAGTATATGAAAGCTCATGGGTTGTTTGAGAGTTTTTTCCACTCTTTTTCTAGGCGGCAGCAGAGATTTGTGGGATGGAGTTTGCCTTAACTTGCATAGAGAAGTCTCTTCCCCACGTAGTTACAAAGGTATATTTGGGAGAATTAAAGTGCAAATGACAGTAAGGATTTCTTAAACTGCAGTCTTTGGGCTCATGGTGATAAGCATTTTTTTTTTCCTTGAGCTCTGGATGCAATCATATTTGATGATATAGTTTAATTTTTATAGTAAAGATAATATTGCTTCATCACCCATGAACTCAACTACACTTGAAATAACTTTATGCTGTGAAATAAGGATATAATCATGAAGTGCTTGTCTAAATGGATTCATACAATTTCTGTTGCTTGGGTTGAAACTCAGGTTTCATTGGTCATTAATAATGTAAGAGTTGTCGTCCAATGCATCCTGACTTTTGGTTACCCTGGTGCAGTTGCTGTACTTCATATCAGGAAAATGTTACTTTTGAGTATTACTCTAAAGTGATAAATCCCTGTAAAATAAATTATGTATTACATAATTCCAAAGCATTCCTGAAGCTGTATGGGGGCACTTCTGCAGTCCATTTCCTTTTGCCTTTTGTGAATCTTTATGTAAGATTACATGGCTGTAACATGTATAATTCTCTTTAATGGACATATGTTATCTTTACCAGTAGAAATTATCAGTACTGACTAGGTCTTGCACAAGTCTGCCATGAAACCTGCACTAGAGTTTTGTAGATGTACATTGTAGTAATGTTGCACAACAGGGATTTAGTAAAGAAACAGAGAAGAAAATAGCCTCTTAGCATTACTTTCATTCGCTGGACAATGACTTCATAAATTTTAAATCTGTGCTTCATTGACTTCTAAACCACTAAAAAATTGGCTTCATAAGGAATGGTATTGAATGCAACTTAATATATTACTAAAAATATGCTACTTAGTTATTGGAATGTAATTACATGTTAATGCCCTATGCTTTATGCATATAATCATTCACTTGGTGACTCCACTTATTGATGTTTCTAGTTGAGAGAATGGTATATTAATAAAATCTAATAATTAAATTTGAATTTTGGCTTTAGTCATAGAGATTTGGTACAGTACATGACTAAGGTTTCCAGTTCATAGTAGAGTACTGACCTGCAGTTATTGGAGGTCTATAAAATTTGTATTTCTTTTTCTCTGATATTACAAGACAATTTATTTTCTGTGTATTGTATTAAGAAATTTATCAAGGCTGGCTTCTTAAAAATAGGCTTAAAACCTATTTTGCCATTATTTTAATTCTGAAAATTTTTGTGTTAAGGCAGGCTATATATTATTGAAGTTTCAGAAGTAGTCCAACACCAAAAGTTCAAATGGATTTGGGCTGGAGACATTGCTTATGTATATCCTATGACCATTAGTATGTCTCCTTGTTGGACTCAGGTAAGTGAGGGATATGGAGAGTTTTAAGTTTCTAGAGCATTTTATTTAGCTAACTATATACGTTAATCACTCACCAGACCAAAGGCTTCAATGTAGAATGACTTGGATTTCTGGTTTTCATTCTTCTAGACTTATGAAAGCTCCATCTTTTTCCTCTACAGATGCAAGCTCAGCTTCAGGTCCTACAGCAGCAGTTGCAAAAGGAAGAGAAAGAGAAGGCTTCTCTTCTAGAACAACTGCAAAATGCCCAGGAACAGCTCACAAAGACAGCCACCCAAGTGAGTTGTAAGCTTGATTGGATGTAGCTATTACTTTGATTTGGATACAATAAGGTTGGAGTGTTTAGATGGCCTTTTAAGATGTGTATTATAATTAATGTGAAGTGCCTTGAAAAAGCATTAGATCCAACATTTTGAAGAGGCTTCTAGTGTGTTGTTTTGAAGGGCATTAGAATTGGTGTGATTGAAGGTAGGGGAGTGTAATTAGGCTTTGTGTGTTGATGTATTGGTATTATTCCAGGTATGCTTGTAGGAGATATTAGTGTGTTTAGCCAGGGAATTATGATTGGTAGACTTTGAAGGGGTATTAGGATGGTGTGATGAAGCAAATGACAATTTGCAGTGAATAATACATTATTCAGCACTTGACTGGAACATAATCATTTTAAATCAATTTAAAATAGGAATGTTTATGAATTTTTCATTATTATAGATCATGTAGATGGGTATAATTTCCAGTAGTTGACAAAAGAGGGCGAACTTAATAGAGGTTATGCATTTAACTTTCATACATAGTATAGAGTGCTTCTATAATCTGGGGTGAGGTGGGAGGGGGGGTCTGTTCAAGTGTTTTTCTAAATATAAGGCGAGAGAAGTTAATTATCAAATTATGCTTAATAAGCACTGATATTTAATTGATGAAGTTTACATTCCCTGCTGCAGTTGCCAAGTTTTAGCCACTTGTAAGATTAAAATGCAGTCTGGCAGTGGCTGGGTATATCGAATGTGATTTTTGCATGTACAGTGTTTTGATTTGCTTAATGTTGAATGTGCTTACATCATTGATAATGCTTGAATGAAAGCTTCAACAGTTTTCGGCATTGACATGCCAAGAAAAATGAACCAAAATATTGAGTTATGGAGTGTACTTGGCTCTTGAAAAAAAAAAAATTGAATTCTGTAGAGATGATTTTAAAATATAGTAGGTAAATAGTGTTAATTAGTATTTATGATGCTGACATTTATTTTAAAGCAATGTCTACCATCATTATAATTATTTTTTGATCTAAAGATTTAGAAATAGGGTACAAAAGTCTTGTTCTTAGATGTAATTAAGTCAAGTGGTGGAAAATTGTAAACAAAAGTAGGAAAATGAATGGATAAGTAATGTCTCATTAACATATTAGTTGTCAATGTTTGCTTCCACAAATTTATCTAAGGATAAAAAAATTTATTAGTTATGAGGCATGACTTGCTTGTTCCATCCCATTAGTTGGGTATAGTAAGGTTTGACATAGATAAATCATTTAGGCATTATGACTTGCTGTTTGTTTTTTGCCTTTATAAATTAATGGGTTGGCAAGCACATCCTGTGGGTTGTTGGAAGATGTCATTTCCCACTACTTTTTGAGGTAACAAGATAAAGCTTGATGCCATGTTCTCTTGGCCCTTCATCAATATTAATGTGACTAAAACCATCAAAATTTTATACTCTAGCTCCTTTAGAGCTGATGGTAGTAAAATTACAGTACAGTATAATGGCTTTCCAAGCCTGTGAAATTAATAAATCCTTCAAGTGCTATGGGGAATGTGCATAAAGCTTGAAACCCTCGGCAAGTGAGTTGACATGTTCCAAGACCAACCCTCAGTATTATGTGCAGGGTAGCAGTGGTAGTGATGAAGCAAGTTTGTTGGAGCTGAAAGCAGACAATGACAAGCTGCGAACTCTGGTTAGTGTGGGCCAAGATGCCAGCCGGCAGCAGGAGCAGCTCATCGAACAATTGCAGGAGGAGCTAGCTTCTGTTAAGGTAGGTGATAGATGAGGTGTAGTACGCTTGTTGCGTGACAGTCCATTAAAGGGTGGTTGAGCTGGGTATTCATGAAACTGGTGTCACTAGCTAGAGGAATGGGCATTTGTCCAGCTATTGAGTTGCTAAACAACCATATATTTTTTCTTTTCTTTTTTAACACATCAGCCATTTCCCACCAAGGCAGGGTAACTCAAAAATGATTTACCATAATGATCATTTTGCTAAAAATGGAAAATCTTTGAAATGCTCTACAAAATGCTGCTAGCTAGTGATTACAGGTATTGTGAATACATTCGAATCAAGACAGACCTTTATTTGCCCATGCTTTACTTTAAAAGCAAGTCCTGCAAGAGTTGACAGGTAAGATGTATGTGATAAAACTAGAAGCGAGATGCACAATAACATGCCTAACTGACATTTTGCAGTGGAGTTCTTCTGTACACTTGTATTTGCTGGCCTTCTCGGAAGTTGCATGTGAACACCTAGTGCCATTTGTTTTTCTTGTTCTGCTGGCTTTTATTTAGGTTTCTGAAGGCTTTTGCTATTGAGTGTGCATGGAAATGATCTCTGTCTTAGCTTGTGAGATCCTGCAAATTGTCTGCTTTGCTAGAAAGCTGCATAGTGGTGGTAGTGGTGTTGCATGGCTAGCATGGATACGTAACTTCCCTTTACTCACCCACAGATCTGTTAGTCATTGGATCGTCACCGTAATGGTAATAGGCTAGACATATCTTATTGCTTAGTCATGTAGCTCGAACATGTTTAATAATCAAATTATAAAAACAAATACATAAACTCCAGTTTATATAGTTCAATTAATTTTTAAATCTACCATGTAAACAATGATATCCCCCTTCCCTGACATCCATATACAGTACCTGTACTAAATTCACTATAAGGGGTAGGTTACTCAGTACTGTTTAACTTATTTCACTAGGTAGTTTTTGCTTTTTATTCAAGTAAAAGCAGTACTGTTCTATTAAATATTAATATTTTTATGAATATTAATATTAGTTTGAGTCATCTTGATAAATTGTGGATCTACTGTATAGGGCTTGGAATAGGTAAATACTGTATATTAATATACTTACATCTCATATATTAGAAGTAGAATTTAATCTATGAAGCTTTCTAGTGGTTTGGGGATGCTTGCTAGTATTTTCATTAGGGAGGTGAATTAGGGGCTGGTGCACTAACACTAGTTGGTGTGTGGTGTTGCAGGCAGCCCTGGCCGCTAGCCGTGTGAGTAAAATGGGCTACATGGCTGGTTGGTTGGGACGCAACAGCAACAACACCACCACCATCAACAACAACAACTCGATGGAACAGCAGGTGACCATTGAGCTGCTGTTTCACTCTTATGTTACTTAAGAGCTCTTTGGGTCATCTTCCACATTGGCCCTCTTGACTTCATCAACCATTGTTGATAGTTATGTCATCCATGGATGCAAAACTGGTTTTGGTGTTACCTTTCAAATATGGTGTCAGTGCATATGAATGTTAGCTGTGTATAGTAGTGGATTGCAATATATATATATATATACATGTATATATTTAGTTTCATGCTTTGTTTTAAATTTGTATTTTATTTTCTCCCTAAAACCTCCCTTGGCTTGCTTTCCTTGTAATTGGGTATTGCTCTAAGGGGGCCAGCTGTTTTAAGTTTTAGCGTAGTTCATGGTGGTAGCTTTGCTTGTCACATGTCTGGATGTTGTGTGAATGACAATTGAACATTTTCAGATAAAAGGCAATAATAATACATTTACATAAAGGCTGCTCAATTGTTTTGTGTAAAGTAGGTTTCCAATTTAGGATAGGTTGACTTTGAATTTTTCAGTTTTACGACATTGGCATTTTAGAACCAGTTAATGACTTGGGAACACTTGCTCTTCTGATACACTGCAAAGAGCAAGGCAGGAAAAATGGAATATGGTGATGCAGCAGTTAGTGTTCGTTGCGGCAATACACAGTTCATGCTTTCCTTCTTGTGTTTCTTCTTGGGTTGAGCAGACACGGTGTGATTAGGGATGGAGGGGGGGAGGAAACGTAAGCATTCACTAGTTCTCTCTATTCTTTATAAAGATCTCTGATCCTTAAACTGTCTTCATATATTATGTATGCCTGCTCTTTCCTGCCTTCAGATATGCCACCTGCTGACATCTTAAACCTAATTTCTGTTTCTCTCACTCCTTGTGTTGCCAAGAAAAATGCTGGCCATATGGCGATTCTTAAGGTATTGTGGGTAACGGTCTTAGCAGCAGTTTTGAAACAATGGGAAGAACTACAGCTTAACCCAGATTGAAATTTGAAAGATATTTTTGGCTGGAGACACCAGTAATAGTAGTGGAGTTCTGAAGAGGAATTATCAGGTTTTGAAAAAAAAATGCGGATTTTACTGAAACCAGTAATGTAAGTACAGTAGAGCCCCACTTACATAGCAGGTTAGGCTTCAGGCTACTGCCGGAAAGCAGAATGTCATTTTTTCTACTTAACTGGCATTTATATGCATTGATAACAGGTTTACACTAACATACCGCATTTCGCAGCTTAAAAGACTTTTTAGTTTCAATGGCTTGGCATCGGACATAACTTGGAGAGTTACAGCCCACCCCTCACCCCAACTTATAGCTCCCGTCACTGACCTTCAGTTTATAGGATGCAGGATGGTTTTTGGAGACTTTTTATGGAAAAACACGCGTCTAATAAGCTGCAAAATACGGTATATTAAGTTAGCAATAGAACTAGGCATTAAAATCAATAAAAAGTAAATTACACACATTACTCATCTGAAAATATTTGTAGTCTTAATGTAGGGTGAGAGGTGAGTAGTATTTATTATAAGAAGTCAGGTGTGGGAGGTATGGTAGCCAGCCAGGTCACCCCACCCACATGTCATGTATACTACGAAATTTAGCCCTTTGAGGGTTGAGAGGCCTTCTCCTAAACTCGTTCTCAGGGTCGAAAAATTCTCGAAAAAAAAAGTTTCTTATGAAATTATGACAATCTTTTTCTGATCATAATGGCACCAAAAGTATGAAATTTGATGGAAAAATTACGGAATTATGCTCTCGTGAAGTTAGTGGTGTCGAAGATATTTACGCATCGGCGATTTCGCCCACTTTGAGCCCTATTTTTGGCCAGTTCCAATGTTGCAGTTGACTAAAATCATAGCTATTTCCCTAGAGCTCCATTTGTTCTATCTATTGAGTACAGGAATTTGCCTATTTACTGATTTCAACTACCCAATAAAGTGATCAGAAATTGACAATTTGGGGAATTTCACACAAATTTCAAAAGATGCCAATTTTGTAATAGGGTCCAGAATTAACAAAACAGACATTCATGGCACTAAAATAACATTTTATCTGTTCATTAGTCACGTCTCTAGGCCCCTCTTACATTACTTTTGCTTTCCATTTTGAATTTTTATTCTCACAGAAAATACTGTTTTCTGTTATGTATACTACTGCATCATTGTAAAAACAGTATAAATGATGTCAGCACAGTTGTGAAAGAATATTAGACTCGCCAGTTGACATGTATTGGACACGTGGCGCGATTTGTTTACTCTTGAACATCGGCAAAAATTGATAATTTTTGCTACTTTGAGCTCAATTTCAAGGTACTTGTCATCGTGAAACCACTAAAAATCATCTCTATTTCTGTAATATATCTTCCATTCTATCAATTGAGACCAAGGAAACGAGAATACAACCATAAATACCATACGAATATACACTAGAAAGTCGCCATTTTAAACCATAAACATGGTCGGAGTTTTTTTCTCTCGTTATGCACTCCGTGCTTCAAGATTTTTTTTATACTGCGCACACTGACCACACAGACCCATTCTTTCATATGTAGGCCTGCCAGCTTTCTTCCACCAGATTTGAAGGAGCTAGAATTTAGGCGTACAAGTACGCGACCGATCCTGGCTGCAATGACGTTCTTGTACGTGACCGACCCTCAAAGGGTTAAAGTGCTCCAGAGCCATAAAATGCATATACAGTACACTCATTACAACTTGCCTTGAAATATTTGTAGTCTTAATGTGGGGTGAGAGGTGAGTAAACGAGGTAAAACAAATAAATGAGAGAGAGAGAGAGAGAGAGAAAGAGAGAAAGAAAGAGAAAGAAAGAGAGAAAGAAAGAGAGAAAGAAAGAGAGAAAGAGAAAGAAAGAGAGAAAGAGAAAGAAAGAGAGAAAGAGAAAGAAAGAGAGAAAGAGAAAGAAAGAGAGAAAGAGAAAGAAAGAGAGAAAGAGAAAGAAAGAGAGAAGAGAGAAAAAAAGAAAGAGAGAAAAGAAAGAGAAGAGAAAGAAAGAGAAAGAGGAGGAGAAGAAAAGAAAGAGAGAGAGAGAGAAAGAAATAGAGGAGAGAAAGAAAGGGGGAGAGGCAGAAGAGAAGAGAAGAGAGACAGAGAGATGTAGAGAGAGAGAAAAATACCAGGTGCATTACTGCCCACAAAAGGACATCATGAGACCAGGTCAGAAGAAAAGGTAATTTGACAGACAGGGCCACCGCTTAAGAGACTGTTCATTGGAACAAACCAGCAGGATTTCTGAATGGAACACGCTCTCACGTCACCCAATCGGCTACTCCTATCTCAGCCCAGCAAGTGGTATTGTGCCTTATACAAGACCACAGACCTACATCCCTGCAGCTGCCTCACTGCCCTACCCCTTTCTCAAGGACAGGCACCTTACATGCCTTACCCACCACCTCAATCTGACCACATCATGAGGAGCCAATCTATCAGCATCCTGTCGGCCAACATTAGAGGTTTCATTACTAATGTTGGAGAGCTCTCACACAGTTTTGTGAACACTCAACGTCCCGACATGATAGCTGTTGTTGAAACATTTTTGGATGACAGGACTCCAGAAAATTTTGCAAGAATTGCTGGCTACACCTCATGGATGAGAAGAGACGGGCAAGGAAGTGGTGTTGCTGTGTGCTTCTCTAAAAGTGTACATGCCCAGCACATTGATGTTGCCATCCCTACTCGTCTTGAAATGATGTCCTTCAACCTATGCATAAACACTAGTACCTCTGTACTAGCATGTGCAATGTACAAACCTCAGTGGTAACATGCAAACCCCATCAACGTCCTAATGGAAAATATCGACTCCCTTCTGCTACAACACAACTGTCAATATGTCATAATTGTTGGTGACCTCAACCGACACCTTATACAGAGGAACTTTGATGAACTTCTTGCAGTATTTGACATGAGAAACTTTGTTGGTTTCCCTACTCACATCTCTGGCTCCTCCCTTGACCCAGTAGTGAATGATCTAGCAGAAGGTATAGTCACTTGTCAACAACTCAGCTACTTTGGATCATCTGACCACAAGGCTGTTTTTACGACGCTTAAGATCCCAACAGAACGAGGTGAGGAGTCCACATACACAACCTGGCTATGGGAAAGAGGTAATTGGCCAACCCTTTGCTCTGAGCTCGCCACCACCGATTGGAATGCTCTTCTCCAAGGGGATGTTGACAACCAAGTGAAAGCCTTCACTGGACACATCCTTAATCGACAACAAGAACACATTCCTCACCGGCAATATGTGACAAAGCCTACACATCAGCCTTGGTTTGGCTTTCGTTGTAGAGAGGCTGCTACTGCTAAGTACAAGGCATGGCTAAGGTATAAGAGACATCCTACCACCTATAACAGGAACTTGCCCAGGCAAGTCTGTAGGCATATGGGTGACGTTCAAAAGTGGGCCATCACTTAATGGGAAATGGACACAAAAAGAAAGCTAGCATCAGGTAGTGTAGGCTCGAAAACCTGGTGGTCCCTGGTCAAGGACAGACAAGGTTATTTGCTTGATGAACTCATTTCACCTCTAAATTGACAGGATGGGACCACCTCTACTAGTAGTTAAGGGAAAGCGGACCTCTTTGCCGAACACTTTGCTACCAAAATACAAGTTCCTGATCCAGCAAGGGACCCTCCTTGGCTAGCTGCAAGAACTGTGTCAAAACTGTCAGTGGTGACAATAAGGCAGGAAGAGGTGCATTTCCTTCTTAAATCACTTAACCAGGAAAAGGCTGTGCAGACCAGCTAGCAGCACCTCTAACTTGCATCTTTCAGCACTGCCTAGTACAGTGTAAATGGCTTTCTCTATGGAAAGAGGTAAATGTAGTCCCTGTTCACAAAAAGAAGAGCAGAGCAGAAATCAGCAACTACAGACGGTTGTTTTTACTACCACACTCTACTTTGTGACCGTCAATATGGCTTCAGGAAAGGTTGCTCTGTTGCTGATCTGTTGTTAAACCTCTCCACTAAGTGGCACCAGTCACTGGATGAATCCAAAGTCAGCTGT